TAAAAAAAATTGAAAGGGGTCGGGTTGAAACCTTGGTTGATTTGATATGGAATTCACCATATATTATAATAATCATAATAATCTAATAATTATATGAAATACGATAGTCTAAATTAAATTTTTAACAGGATACTTATATTTTTATTAAATAAAATAATAAATATCACTGTATCTCTTCAAATTAGAACTTGAATATTTTGAAACTGATATTATACTTTCTAGACACATTTTACATTTGGTAACGATAGAATTAGTTTGTTGATTTTATGATGTTACTGTAAAGTATTTATTATATTTGGGCAATTCGTCTGATTCTGAAATGATGATGATAAATAATAATATTCAAATTAATAAACTATACTATATGACAAAGATAGTGGCTGGTTAAAAGAAAATTCAAATACGATAAAAGAAACAGCTAATAAAAAATAACCCTTTTTTCTTAAAAAATTTGGATTAATATTAAATTAATATATTTTATTTTTAATGAATACAAATTAGAAGATTTTCTAATGCGTTCATCAAAAAAAACGCACGTTCAAAGTTCGTCAAAAATAAAAGGAACGACATTCATCATTTTTTTCAAAAAACGAACTTCACGAACGCTTCATTACTGTTGCACTAAAAGAATTGCAATCGAATTAGAATTGGTATAAAAATCACTGTTGGTTTTTTATTCAATAAGTTTTAATAATAATGATATTTTTTTACATATATATATTTATATCTTTTGTACAAATAAAATTATTTCAAATCAATTGAACATAAACTAATGTCCAATTAACACATCACAATTGAACAAAATAAAATATAAAAATAACGCCTTAAACAGTAATAAATAAACATTAAAATATATATTGACAATCATATAACATGTACCAAAAAAAAATTTAATAAAAAAAAACCTCTAAAATCCAATACCATTCAAATCTATATAAAATATGACAGTGATAACATAATTTATGATGGGGAAGTAACAGATAGAGGAAGAGCTCGCTTGGCATGAGAGAGAAAATAATTGTATCTTTATAATATTAGAAAGGAGGGAATTAAATATAATGGGAAAGGGAATAATTGCATTATTATAATTTGTTGTTTCCTTATTTGTAATCCAATCATTAAAATGGAGAGGGGAATAAATGTAATGGGAAAGGGAATTATTGCAATAATTTATAATTTTTTGTCCTTATTTGGAATACAATCATTTAAATTGGGGAAAGGAGGGAAATAAATGTATCTTTATAATATTGTTGTTTCCTTATTTTGGAATACAATCATCAATACATTATAATGGGAAAAGGAGGGGAATAAATGAAGTTATTTATAATAGTCCAATAAAAACTATGCATAATTTATAACATTTTGGTTACTATTCAATAAAAAAAACGAAATGAACTACAATTCATTGTTAAATAATTAAAATCAATTACCAAATTTATCAAAGATCCCTAATCTGATTAGTGTGGGCAATCAATGATCTGTCTTTATTTGCCACATGACATTACTGATCCTACTAATGACAGTATCCATGTGCCACTCTATGTTATTTTGTGATTTTAAATATGTATTTTATTTATATATCACTGTTTAAGGCGTTATTTTTATATTGTATTTTGTTCAATTGTGACTTGATAATTGGATACTATATTATGTTTATTTTGATTTTAAAAGTTAATTGGTTTATATATATATGATATTTTGTACGGAGAGATAATTGAATTTCACTGTCAATACTATTTCGAAATCGTTTTCATACTATTATCGACCTACAATTTCCCTCCCCCTAAAATTGCAATGGTGGAGGATAGGGTCACCAGCTTATTGGAAGCTGGTGGGGAAGGAGCCTAGATACGTCATTCGCGAGCCTGGTATAGGACTGAACGAAGAGACGCTTGTTAAGAGAAAGATTGATGACAGACTTGATATAAAAAAAAATTTCGTTTGTTCATGCGCGAAATTGAATGGCATATAAGACAAAGAGCTGAGTTTGGAAAATTTTGTATTCATACATACATGTATGGAAAGTGTAACATTTAAATTAAGTTTAATTTTTATAACAATGATTAGTATTGTAATTAATATATCCCAGGCCTATGTAATATAATATTTAAATTTAAACCATTATTGGTAAATATTATATTATATCAATTTGCCCATATATAGTGTAATTTATACCTCCTTTCTAAGTTAAGGGCATATTACGAAAAAAACTATTATGGATAGCTTTGATCCCTCATCGTTAGCCAATATATAGGGTAATTTATACCTTTCTTATACCTTTCTAAGTTAAGGTTATAATTACGAAAAGAAACTATTATGGATGGCTTGATTCCTCCCCATTAACCCATAGTGTAATTTATACCTTTCTTATACCTTTTTAAGTTAAGGGTATAATTACGAAAAGAAACTATTAGGGATATTTTGACCCCTCCCAACCCATTTTATTTAATTTATTGGTATACTAATTATTGTTTTCATTCTTTTTCTCAGATATGGACTTCTCAATGTTATAAATAAAACATTAAAATATATATTGACAATCACATAATAATTACAAAATTACTTAAGACCCTAATAAACAAATCAAAATAATATAACTAGCAGACAGCCTGTTAAAGAATGACGATGAATCATAAATTTTTCCCTTTATTTAATGACGAGTGAATCAGAAATATGTCCTTTTTTTTTAAAGTATGTATGAGCCAGAAATGTACCGAGTATATTTTAATGAGAAACACAAATTATTTGGAACATATTTGTAAATCATATTATTTTAATACCCAAGCATACTATGTTCAAATAGCAATCGAATGTTAGATATATAGAAATATATTTTATTCCCCTTTAACTTATTACATTTTACCTTTCTTTGCAGTATCCTGCGTTATTTCTATTTAATCTGATGCTCATAACTCCGTCATTAAATATTAATCTTTATAACTATATACACTTATGAGTTTATAATTTCTATCCCGTTAATAAACCTATTAGTCTTACCCCTTAAATTTATCATTTAACAATTCAAGTTCTCTGAATGAGCAATAAATCTATCTTTCCCGTAACACCAGATACTTTATTTTTGTAAAAATTTCAATAGAATATCTAAATTTTAAAATAATCAATGCTATATTTATGGAAAGAACAACTTGTAAACCATCATTAATAATTTCTAAGATTGCTTTATTTTACAAAATCCCATTAATTCACTACTATGATGGATGATGTGATGAGAATTTGGAATACAAATATGACTTAAAATCCTATCCTTATTTCAAAACATATTACACTATAATATAAAACAATAATATATTTTATAAAAAAAAAACTAAAAAAAAATGAAGTACATTTTAATGGAATGTTCTAAATTGTTTTTAAAAATATATTTGCTGAAAGAATCAGAAATAAATTTTATGGAATACGATATTACGTCATATATGGATTGCTGTTTATTTTAATCCTAATGCCTTTTAGTTATGCTAATTCTTTATATATTAAATTTACTATTCGAAATATTTAAATTAATCAAGTATTTATACTTTCTTCATTCCAAAATATATTATATATTAATGAAATAGATGGATATCAATAATAAACTATGTAAATTGCGGGATATATGACATGAAATTTTATGATAAATCTCATTATAGATCAAATTTATCCTATTTCAATTATATAAGGTCGCGTATTCGGAGGCAAGATTTTCACGACATTAAACATAAAAGGCAAGGCATTGCTATACTAATTATATGTTTCGATGATTTTGTATTTAATATTTAAAAAATTTTCTTATTTAAATAAAAATGAGTTTTTTTAACTAGATTGCATCATATCGCCTGCTCCCGTTCATAGCGTTATCCTGGAATTTGAAATCTTAAAATATGCAATATTTTTTAATATTAAGAATACCCACATTGAAATTTGCGGCCCCATGAGAAATAAGCGAGTTATATATTAAAAATGAAGAAAGCCTAAGTAATATGATGCAAATGCTAATTTTTTAAGTTATTAACAACAAAATAAAATATAATAGAAGTGCAAATACCGTAGATTTATCAATTGCTGGTATTTCGAGTTCAGATCAATGGGACCCTAATGGTCCTATGTTTTTTAATACTGATGATTGGCACATGAAGCAATGGGAAGATGCAGATGTTCCTCATAAAAATATCATGCGGGAAGCTTTTAGATCTTATTTTACCTCAAGAAATTCGTACATTGTTCGCAAAATAGTTTTTGACAAATTATATTTGACGGAGACCGGTGAAGGTTATTAATTAGATTATATGATCATTTAATACATAAATAATCCTAAATATACAATTAATCTTGACTAGAGTAAAAGGTGGTTCTTTTTTTATTTTATTAAATGGTCATTTTACGAAATAATATTTCTATTTATAGATGGTTTAGGCGATAAAATTTTCATGTACATTTCGGATGGATGGTGTATGATCATATTTAATTATATTTGTATAAAACCCTATAGTTCGAGATGAATGTAATCCATTCTTTTCCGGGGTCGACTTTTGCGGATCCCACGCAGATTGTGAAGATTTAACTTTAGGAAATGATACGCTGGCGGAGGATGAAAATCCATTTTTCGCATGCAAATGTTACGAAGGGTGGATAGGAATGTTATGTGAGAGAGGTATTTAACTAGAATTTAGTAATTTTGCTTAATCAATTGAATTTATGTTATAGTGCTTGGCAGGTATTTTTTTAAAGGATCCTATGTTTGTGAGTCTTTCTATAAATTTTGATAATAGATTCTTTGAAAAATATCGGTAGCCTCCATTTTTTAATCATAATTTGTTCATCTTAATACTTATAAATCTATATATTTTTGTTTAAATGATCAATCATATTTATACTTTCGATTATAAATTTGAGAATAAATTATTTGAATAAATTATTTGAATAAATATCGATAACATTAATTTCAGCCATTTTTTGTCATAATTTGTTCATCCTAATAGTTATAAATAAATTGTGCTTAATATATGAGAGATATTGATGAATGCAAGCAAGGGATCTGCCAAAATGGAGCATTCTGCGAAGATCTGTTGCCACCAAGAATGTTCAAGTGCACATGTAAGCCTTACACATACGGAAAAATTTGCGACAAAGGTAAGATTAAACGGTAATAAATCTTAATAATCTGATTCATTTTCTAAAATAGAATACCCAAAAAGCGAAGAAGGATTTCAATGCCAAAGTACTGACAAATCAAGTTTGATAAGCTGGGTTCCAGAAGAAAATTTCAGAATTTTAGACTATTTCCCCTTTGGATTGCGAAACGTGAAGACTATGAGCCCTAAAAGCTTTAGGAAATTTGTTTCATTAAAACTTAAATTAGAAAGGGGTATGGACATTGGTTCAATGGCAAAAAGTTGGTTAAAAACTCATGCAACGCACGTATATATTGATCACGAAAAAGATCCGACCATAGTTGAAAGTTTAAGACCTCCACATTACATACGGTAATTATTTTAAAAAAGTTTTACAAAAAATATTCTATCAAATGAATACCTGGACAGAATAATATAATTAAAAATTAAATTTAACACTGATATTTAACGATAACTCATATATATACATTTTAAGAAACTTATATTGTTGCACCCCCCCCCCCCCCCCTAAAAATAAAATTTAACATTTATATTTAACGATAACACATATCACTTTAAGAAACTTATAATGTTGCACCCCCCTCCCCCCACTAAAAATAAAACTACTGATATTTAACGATAACACATACAGGGTTGCCATGTTTCCCCCCATCAGTGGGAGACTCCCGCAATTTTTTAGTTTAGCAGACATCTCACTCTCACAAAATTACCGCAAATGGAAATCACCGGCAAAAATCTAACGCAATCTTTTAATTTTCTCCCGCAAATTTTTTTTTAGCATTTAAACGTTTTTAGAATATAAATAATAATTTTGTTTTAAGAGACAGTAATTGATTATTTTTATATTTTTAAAATAAATATTTATTCGAAAAACATGTCTAGTTTGTAAATATCTTTATATCCTGTTTTATTTTTATCCAATAATAAATCAACATCATTTTATTCATATAAGTCAGTACAGGGGATTATAACAACATTGATTGCAATACAAAAATTTCTCCAAAATTAATATATAATACAGATGCAACTACAGTTGCGGAAATCATATACACCTATCATGTAGTTCAACATTCACGAGCTGTCTATCATCACAATGTGGGTCAAATCTTTTCCCCATAAAAATGAGAAATGCTATCATAATTTTTTTAGGACTTAAGTCCAAGAGGCAATTCTAGACGATTTGAAATAGAGGCATCCATATGCAATTCTAACAGATGCATCTAATAAGGGAAATATTAAAACATTTCCCTTGATCCTTTGCTATTTTAACAAGAATAAGGGCATTTCAATAAAACTGTTAAAAAAATTTTCCTCGGATAGTGAAAAATTCAACGATATAGCTAACCACATAATGGCAAATATAGCTGATTCAGGGTTATCAATGAGTTGCATGTCAGCTTTCTGCGCTGATAATGCTTCTGTGTTGACAAAAACCAAAGTGTATTTATGGAATTGAGACAGCACAATAATGAATTAATACCAATTGGCTGTATATGCCATATACTACATAATTCATGCAAGAAGGCAATGAATTTACTATCCGGGGATGCCGAAATAATTGTGATGAAAGGTTTTAACTATTTAGTTCATCAACTAAAAGAGTTAATGAATTAAAAGAGTTGGTGGAGTGGTCTGACTTGGAATGGTGTGAGTTGTTGTGATATATATACCTATCAGGTGGTTATCATTAATACCTGCCATAGATAGAATTTTAAAATTTTACGAACTCTTAAAAAAATACTTCTAAATAAAGATTTTAAAAGCTGTCCTAAAATTTTGAAAATTTTTTTCTAGGATGAAATGGCAGAAGCAAATTTAGGATTAGTTTCACATGCAGGAAATCTATTTCATGCAGTTAATATTCAGTTGCAATCAGAAGATTCTTTATTAATAAAGATTCACAAAATCATGCTACAGTTCTATTTAAAAATTAATAATAAATTTTATGGCGCTATTGCCAAAATTATTATATTAAAATGTTCAAATAATACTCTAATTAATATATTTTTAAATAAAGCAGATATTTTTATTAAGACAATTTTAGAATATTTACAATCAAAATTTGATTTTAATAAATTTATAAAAGTATTAATATCATGACCTTGAAATATAAACCATCAATTGATGGTTTTTGTAATTTAATAAATATATTAAAAATACCGATAGACTTTGATGCCTTGTTTGAAGAGATAGTAATTCTCTCTATTTTTTATGATTCGCCAGAATACTTAAAGTTAGATGGTCTAAAAGCAGAGGAGAAATGGGTGGAATTTTTTCGTAATAACGATAATTCCCCATACTTGGGAAAAATATACGAGTATATTTTCTCCTTACCTCATTCTAATGCCTCATCGGAGCACATTTTTAGCCTGATGAGGACTGCCTGTAGAAAGGAGAGAAATCGGATTGCTTTAACAACATTAGAGGCCGAGCTAATTGTTAAACAAAATTATAATATGTCATGCCAGGAATTTTATAAATATCTCGTAACGACAGTAAACGTTTAGTTCCATTATTTAAATCTCAATAAATTTTAACTATTTAATTTTCCATATTTTTTATATAATCTTATTTATACATTCGCATAAAAATTCAATTTTTTTTATACATTTGCATAAAAATTCAATTTTTTTTATACATTCGCATAAAAATTCAATTTTTTTTAATACATTCGCATAAAAATTCAATATTTTTTATACATTTGCATAAAAATTCAATTTTTTTTATACATTCGCATAAAAATTCAATTTTTTTTATTAAAATTCATATACAAATGTGATAAAATATTATTATTTAAAAATTAACATTAAAATATAGAGAAAAAATATGTCATATATCAATTTAAGTTTAAAAAAAATACAAATGTATATTTTTATTAAAAGAAGAAAAAAAACATTTAAAAAAAAGAAATATCAAATGGCGAGGTCGGGCTACGATGTTTTAAATATTTGATAATTAGATCTAATTATAGATACGGCCATTTTCTGCTTGAGTTTGTAAAATGGAGAAAGGTATGATTTTTTTATTGATTTGGATATTGTTTTGAATAGATCTAAAGCCACTTGTCCAAAAGAGCAGGTTGTAGCTGCTATTGGAACAAAGTGGTTCTCACACATTAGGTGTGAGTATTTTAGATTTTTTAGAGATTCGGCTCTGTTAAGGTGATCATGGAAATTATTAGATGGAGCCATGGGATCAATGCAGTTAAAATCCCATTAAAGGCTTCCCATGAAAAAAGGTACGACGGTTTTGCCGTCAGGGCGTTTTTTATCTGAAAAGGATGTAGGTTTTAACATAGGAAATTGGCTTTATTTAAAAAAGAAGCTATTATTGCATTTATTTTATCATTTCGGCTGATTTTTGATATAAATTTACAGTGGAGAGCGTGTCTCCTAGTGTTGTTAAACGACTCATTTTGAGCCGATTTTTAAAAACGGCTAACTCAATACTTCACCTAGAAAAATATTACGCAAGCCTGAAGATTTTGCTCATAGAAGGAACAAAGGTTCATACATATATTATCGAAATCTCAAGGCTTAGGCTATATTTTCTGGCTAAAATATTGCGAGTCGTTTAACAGCACTAGTGTCTCCCATACGCGTCTGCCGATTGATTGCATTTATTGCAATGGTTTAGGAAAGGTACGCCCAAGCATAAATTGATTGCATAACGAAAAGCGTCGTTATCTATTAGCTGGTTATTTAAAATACTGGGATATGAATCTACCCATTCATGGCCAGAGTTGTTGAAATTAAGAGATTTTAGGAGGGATTTATATTGGTGATCATCGCTCAAGTTGTGGTAAGCTAAGGAACGAGATACCAATCCTTGATCCCAATATTTTTGTTTCGTTGAATCTGGCGGGGCTGTGTTTGGTAAGACATTAATGTTCCAACAACGTAAGGCTTCATCTAATAAATTATCTTTATCGATGGTAATAATTTGCGAGGTAATATTTTTTACTGATAAGGTTAATGAGATGAAGGAAACAAGGGCTATACTTATTGCCGATCTTAGGCCTAGTCCTCCGGATTTACAAGGGAGAGTTGCTTGAAGCCATGAGTTAGAATCGAGTTTGATGTTTAATAACTCTGTCATCATTTGTAGTATCTTTTGTTCATATTCCTTTAAAAGAATTTCAAAAGAGAAAGCACCAGAAGTTTTTAAACAATACTGATTTGTGGTAATAAAAGGGCGTTTGAGAATGTAGTATGCTTGATGGATGAATAATTTTTTTAGGATCGATAGTTTGGGGAATAGTGATTGAAGAGGATTATTTAAAAAATTAAAAAACTCCTTCTGCACCTCCCAATGGGGCTCCTAATATACTGAAATCTTGTAAGGGTGTCCGTCTAAAGTTATCTAATATGGTGTCTGTTGGAGGCGGAGAAGGATAAATTTTGCATTTATTTATATTTAAGGATAAATTCAGTTCATCAAAGTGTTTGTTGATTATATCTAGACAATTCTGGATTGAAGAAATGGTCCCCGATATAATACAATCGTCAAGGTACCAAACATGTAGATTGAGTATGCATGAAAGAGCAATATCACTTATTAGGTGTTTAAGAGTATAGGAAAAAAATAGTGGTCCTAATGGGTCACTCTGTTGGAGGCCTTCTGCAGAATTAATAATATAATCATTAAATTTGATCATTTTATTCCTATTAATTGAATTAAAAGCATTGGATATATCTAATTTTGCTATATTATCTTCAGGTTTGAGGTTGGATAAAACTAGTTGACTGCAATGGATTGCAGCTTCACAGCCTCCTTTTACTCCAAACCTCAATTGGTAAGGAGCTAAGCTTAAGGTTATTGTAGATTTGAGTCGATTACAAATAATTTTTGAAATGGTTCGTCGATAGAAAATTTTAATAGCTATTGTGCGCACTTGATTTTTAGCTTTTTCAAGTGCAATTAGTCGAGCGCCAAAGATTATTGGTGCTAGTTTATGTGGTAATTTCCCGTTGATAATAAGATTAAAATTTTTCGTTAAAGAATTAAGTAGGAATTCGGAACTGTCTAAACCCAAGAGGTCAATAATAAATAAGAGTCGAAGGTAATCCAGCCCTTGAGCAGAATCGTTTGGAAAAGATTTAATAGCGGTTAAGGCTTCGCCGGGAGTGATATTTATCTTTGAATTTATTATAGGCAGTATTTGAGGAGTGTATTTGGGGCTCGGATGTTTTTCTAAAAGTTGATTTCTTGTGGTGATATTATCGGGTGCCAAAGTGTTTGCGTTAGCAAGAGCTCGGAAAGCTCCTTTTAGATTGAAATATTAATCTTATTATATATTAGTTTGTGTGAGGGGTTTAAGTCTTTTTAGCAGGATCATATTGATATTTGGCGATAATTTTTCAAAATTAAGATCAAAGTTTTCAATTCTTTTTTCGATGGTTTGACATGGTGGGGTTGGATTATTTTTTGGTGGATTTGATATTTTTTGGTGGATTTGATAATATTAATGTTGGGAAATATATCAATTTTCTCCAATTTAGATCTTCTGGATTTTGTAAAATATTATTAATAATTTTGATATAAAAAGGATAAATTAATTTAAGGGCTGCTTTTGGGATTCGTGATATGGTAGGGCTAAAATAGCTTGTTAAAATTTTTGGGTATTCCAAATCAGGTATTGGATAATTTTTTATAAAGGTCTTTTCCTGTGTTGGATTTTCATTTGGTGGATTAAATAATTGATAGTCATTTGGGTCGAAATTAAAGGTGGTGGTGGAATATCAGGTGAGATGCTAGGTGATGAAGGTTCAAGCAGGGAGGCTGTAGGTTTATTACTACCTGGGCATCTTGAAGTGAGTGGTTTATGGATGGTTATTAAATTGTTATTTTTTATGTTAATAATTCTAAAGCAGTATAAGCAAGTTCTTCTATTGCTCATGTTCTAGTTTTGTGATGTAGTTGGGTTATGTGAATTGCCTTTATAATGATCCAAGTATGAAATTGTGTTAATGTTAAATTTATAAGATACTATTGTTGTAGTTTATAATTATTTTCTTGGCAACATCGTTTTTTATTACATTCGTTTATAGGTTCTTTCAAGAGGTTGACTTAATAATAAACCATAGACAGTATTCAATATGATATCTATATCATTATTTTCATTGCATGTTTTTATATTGAAAGATTCATGATGTTATTGTCGTTTTAACTGATTAAAATATATTAAAGCTTAATTACTTATTAGATTTATAAATATATTTTTTACATTGTAAAATTAATTTGAATATTCTGGCAAATCAAAAATAGAGATCATTACAATCTCCTCAAACAAGACATCAATGTTATCGGTATTTTTAAAATATTTGAACATTTAAATAAATTTAATGGCGCCATAAAATTTGTTGTCAATTTTTAACTGTAAATTATGGACACATCTGCAGCATAATTTTGTGAATATTAAAAAAGATTCTTCTGATTTCAACTTCATATTAACAGCATGTAGTAGATTTCCCACATGTGAAATCATTCCTAAATATACCTCTGCCATTAATTATTGAAAAAAAATTTCAAAATGTTAGGATAGCTTTTATAATTTTTATTTAAGAAATATTTTTTTAAAGGTTTATAAAATTTTAAAATTCTATCGATGGCGTGTATTAGGAACATATCGCAACCAACATTGTGCTGACTCAATTCTGTAAATACAATCTGTTTTTACCAAATTCACTGAGGCATTATCAGATCAGAAAGTTGACATGCAATTTATTGATAATCTCGAATCTGCTATATTTACCATTATGGTTGGATTTTTCACTATTTGAGGGAAAAAAATTTAATAGTTTTATTGAAACGACCTTAATTTTGTTGAAATAGCAGAGGATCAAGGGAAATGTTTTAATATTTCCCTTATTAGATGCATTTGTTAGAATTGCATATGTATGCCGATCTTTCAAATCGTCAAGAATTGACCTCCTAGATTCAGGTTCTAAAACATTGATGATAGCCTCGCTCATTTTTTCTACAAGTAAAGTTTTCATTTATCTCGGAGGCGTTAAATAATATGGGGAAAAGATTCTACTCATATTGTGATGCTAAGTAGCTCTGTGAATGTTGTACTACACGATGAGTGTATACCATTGCCGAAACTGTTGTTGAATCTGTATTATTTTTATTTTTGTAGAATATTTTTGTTTTGCAATAGATGTAGATACACTCCCCATAATAATATAATTGAACTATAATATATAAAATAGTTATCATTGAAATAAGTGCAATATTGCCTTATTACGTATTTAAAAGTGATACGTGATAATTAAGCGCCTATCCCTATAATGTTATATACAAACACACGGTAGATTTTCAATTGCGGTAGTTTTGCGGGACTTTCGCATAAAATATATTTTTTACATTGTAAAAATAAATTTTTTTTTATAAAATTAATATATTTTAATAAATCAAAATGTTATTTTAATAATAAAGATAGTATTTAAAAAATTTTGTCACGTACTATAATTAACTATTTTATTTTGAAAAATAGTTAATGACTTTGTATTATAAACTAATTATTATAAAATTAATAGGCGGATAACTAAGTTAATTCAAAATCCCGGCAGCCCGCAAAAAATTTTTTTTAGCAATTTTTATATTTCTACCACAATTTTCATATTTCTCCCGCAATTTTCATATTTCTCCCGTAAAACACCAATTTCTCCCGCAATTTGAAAATTTTGACCTGGCAACCCTGAACACATATATACTCTTTAAAAAACTTATAATGTTGCATCCCCCCCTTTTCCCCCAAAATAATCTAGATATTATAACGATTGGGGGTTTAATTTCAATTGGGCTCAAACCCACACAGAATCAGACGTGCCATTTCAACATGTAATAGAGATGGTATTTCCTGCCCCAGTATTAATAAGAGGTTTTGTGACTCGGGGTGGTTACGAGAAACGTAATGTAGCTAAAGATTGCGCTCCTTGCAAACGACTCGTCACAAAGTATAAAGTATCTGTAAGGCGCGGATCTTCGAAATGGTTCCGCCTGCGTAATCCTGATTCAAGTGAAACCGTTTTTGAGGCTTTATCACCTGGTGAGATCTCACTCAACTCGGCCGAGGATTTGAAAAAACTAGACGTTGATAAACCCCGATATAGAGCTGTTAATCCAGCAGTTACGGCTGAGGCTCTCAGAATACACGTAGTAGATTGGTGGCCCAGGGAACTCGACCTATCTTCACTTTTGACAACTGTCCCTTCGCCTCATGTAACCGTCAACAGTGACGGTAGAGTCTCTCCAGAGGAACCGCCCCCACCCCATTTAATAGATGTCAAGAATTTAGGAAGGGAAAGAATGATAAGGTCGCAGAACCCTGTGATGAGGATCGACGTGATGGGATGCCATGGGATGATCGTGTGAATAGCTGAACGATTCGGAAAGAAATAAAGAAATGGAATGTGGAAAATATGGATATTTATGAGAAGCTGTTCATTTATAAGAAATTGTGATTTTCTTCTAGATATCTTGTCTCATTAATAATATTTTCATTTTTTTTATATAAAAAAGAATTTTAAATTCAGAAGTATATAGTATATGTAGTTTTAAATTAAAATTTTTTTTTGTTAATTACCTATATAACGCCTTACTAATCAAATGTTTATTTTATTATAGTCCAATGATTTTATAAAGAAATATTCCTTATAAATTTTAACCAAATTTAGGTTGGAAAAAATTATTCAATACATTAGAACAATCATCATAATATTTTTTTAATGCATGCATTAAATTTATTTGTGAGCATACAAAATTTAAATCGCTTATATGAATGATGTAAACCTTTTAAAAGGTTCTTCATTGAAATTGTATTATGTGTTATCTATTATATTTGATAAAAATAATAAACTTCTGACCATCAATTTTGCGTCAAATTAATTTAATTAGTTGAAAGTTTATTGATGATTCAAAATATTAAAAAGAGAAGAAAAAGTGATATATTCTCTGAACAAATCTCAAGTTAGACGGGTGGAGTTTACTTCAAAACTATCGGCAATGTAAAACTATTATAATGCAATCTATTTTGTTTAAATTTGAATGGTATAGTGAGGATCATCTTGAATTTGAAGTAAGCCCAGCGATTGAAAAAAAATACTCACTGAGTTCTTATCGCGAGACACATGATATTTTTCTGGCTAGAGCTAAAAATCTAGGAAGTTCTAATTTTTTTTTTACAAAATTCTAGAAGACCATCTGCCCTGAAGATAAAGGAGAAAATAATGAGTACCATTCCTTTTTTTACTCTTTTTGAATATTGTATCTAATTTTTGTACAATAATACAAATACGACGAGCATCATTGGAAATTGACGATCCATTTATTGCACTCTTGTTTGGGAAGGGATACATCCTAAGAAATAGTAGTTTTAATTTTATATTTTTTTTGAGTTGATAAAAAAAATCCACTGTATCAAAGCTTGAAAAGAAGATCATCCACTAAATCCCAATCAAAATTATATAAACTCATTAAGGACGGGCAATGTATGTATGCAATGAAAATCATGTCTTATTTTTTTTTATTATATCTCAAACAATTTTAATATTATTTTTCCAAATTTGGTTATATGTTAAAAGAAGGTAAAATTAAAATTTTAAATATGTGAGTTATAAAATATTATTGATGGTTATTTTTCAAAAATAAAAATATTCTCAAATGACAATATTTTTCTTAATAATAAAATATAATATTGCTATCTTTACTAAATGTTTTCAAATTTGTTAAATATCTCAATTTTACCAGTGTATATTATTTGGAATATTACTGATGCAATAATATAATGTCGGGAACATTATGATGGTAAATTTGGGAGAAAAATAAAATAATTTTTTTATGAATTATAATAATCGTAATTTGCGAGATAGACAAACATAAATGCCGATTATTTTGTTTACCCGTCATACGAATTTTTATGATAATTTTTACATAAACCCTAAATTATCTCTTTAATCTCAATGTCATTATTCTAAAGAGATCCAAAAATTTAAATAATAAAAATTCGTTTGATTTTTCTATAAATACAAACCGAAAAAAGTATTTGAATATAAATACAAATGCGTTTAAAAAAAAGTATTTAAAATATGAATACTGATTACCTACATAAAACCTTCAAAAAAGTATTTAACAAGTGCTTTGAAGAATAGTTTTTGCAAGTTACTTAAATAATATTTTTATTATTAACTATTTTTTTTCTAATAATTGTAAATAACATCTTATCGAAAATATTCCAATTATATTTTATATGCAGCATCCCATAAATTATGTATATAATTGCAAATATCATTAATTCTACAGTTTAATAGAGTGTTATAAAACATAAATTTGACCATAATTATTGTATATAGTGAATTATATTGCAGACACTTACATAATATCAAAAAATAATATAAAGCAACATAAATAAATTCAAATAAATCACATTTCAAAATAAATAAAAAAGGATAATGTTTAATGTAATAAGATTTTAATATAAAATATCATTTAATCTATGCCTTAAATTTTTTTTTAGGGACCTTTGGAGCAGAAGAGGTAAAATAGAATAATATTAAAAAAAATTTAAAATAATTACAATTTATTTTATTATTTACTTTATATTTTGCTCATTTTACGTTTTAACCAAGGATAGTTTTATTTTTAAATTTCAATTTTTATTTCCAAAAAAATATATATTTAATTGTTAAATTTTAATTAAATATTGTTTTTAGGGTTTAAAAAAAATCAATCCCTTTCTAATTTTCTTTCAACTTCTTATTTTGTTCAAAACATCTTGCCAAGAAAAATAATCAAAAAATCTGAGAAAAAGCAACTGTATTTTATTACGTTTTTTTATCTATATATATATCTACTATAAAATAAATATAAATTGATTACTAATATAATTGATCTAAAAATAGCAATTTTTAATATCAAAAATAATATTCATCACAAAAAGAATGACGTCGCAATTTAACATAAAAAGAATGACTCCATAATTTAACATAAAAAGAATGATTCCACAATTTAACATAAAAAGAATGACTCCACATAACAGCTCATATTAAATAATTTTATACTTCAAAATGGTTTACCTCAACATAGGCCTGATTCTAACTCCACCCTTTGGAAGAACCAGATAAAAATGGAGGGGGGGCAGTTTAAAAAAAATTTTCAACACCATAGAGCGAATATTTAAGTTATTTGAACACAAAATTGAAATATACGATTTTATCTTAAAAATTCCACATATAAAAATATATAATAATCAAATATGTTTATAAAATTAGATGGAAGCTAAGAATTGACTTAGAGCTGGAAAGAAATAAGTATTTAATGATTTTGCAAATATTATATAATTAACGTTGATGTTGTTTAATTGTGCTTGTATAATACTTGTATTCAATTATAAAATATATGTAATATAGAAAATAATTATAACTATATACAATCAGTTATTAAGTCAATGATTGAGCAGTGTAAAACTAACAAAAATAAAGCATTAACAATATAATTTTGATTGAGATATATTTTTAAATATCTTGAAAACATTTTCAAAATTAATCGGTTATGTTTTTTCCATGTCCTATAATAACCAAGTTACCTTTCCTTATATCGCTACTCGAACGTATATCTGATTTAATAATTCTCTTTAATGGAAAAGTTGACTCACAACTCGATGTAGATGATCTAAACTGATACAGAATATTCTAAAAACATTTGGAAATGCAGTTTTGTATAGGTATTGAAATTTGACAAAATCTGATGTAACTAATCTTTATAATTTTCTAAACTTTTAACAAATAATTTTTTAACAATATCAATTTCAATTACTAATTCCTCTTCAGTAATATTGGTTGCCAATAAAGGTTTTAATTTTTTTATGTCTAGAAAATTAAAATGGCTATCTTTAATTTTCTAATTAGCTTATACAAAAATATTGGGAAAAAAAATTAATTTTATGATCCTCTTCTTCCATGTATTCTGCAATTGTAATGTTTCTCAAGGCCACTATACAGGAACATTCTTCGAGTTGGTAAAACCGGTTTTGGTATAGATTTGATTCACCATTTTTTAAGTTATTGATCTAAGGAAGGCAAAAATTTCACCAGCTTCAATTAATTATACAACAAATACGTATAAAATTTTAAAGGAAATCTTCTTCCATTATTATTAACAGTCTTTTGGAGTGATGTAGATATTGTTTTTAAAAAGGCCGATTTGGGTCGATTTTTAAAAACGACCCTATTAAGATTTTCTTCAAAATAATATTATGTAAGCCTTGTCATTTGGCAAATAGATGTCCAAACCTTTCTGCCATCTATGAGCAAAATCTCCACATTTACATAATATAATTTTGGTTAAAACTTTGATAGGGCCATTTTTTAAAATGACCCGAATCGGCTTTTACCACTAGATGTTGGTCAATTTAGTGATACCTTATTTAAATCAGTTGTAATATTCGTAATAAGAATAAATTAAAAATCTAACCTTTCCATTTTGTTTTTTTAAGCACAGGCTCATTTTTCTTCTTCTGAATCTTGGCATCTATTTACATTTCCTCCTTCCTTATTACGCTATGAGGTGCGTTGGCGCTATTAGGTATTTCAGTAAATATGAATAGTGTTTTTTAAGCCGATAGTGGCTTGAACAACAGTAGTTTGTAATTTTTTTCTAAATAGGCCTAGAAATGGGTCTGTTTAACATGAGCGTATAGATTATTTGCCTAGTCCATTATTTCCTTTTCTTACTGAGTTAAGAGGGCTTCATCTAAAGGTAAGTAAGGTAAATATTCTGCTACATGCTACCCATCTATTTTGTAATAAGGATATGAGAGAGATTTACTAAAAACTTCTTCTTACATCAAAAATTGTTAAATGGCATATAGAGGATGTGGAGGTTGTTAATGTTACAGATTCTCTGCTTAAACATAATAATTAAAGAAGTCCTAGTAGAAATGGAATTAATATTTTCTTGTTCTATATCATCTTCTTCAACAAAATTTATATCTTCAGGGTAACCTTCTGAAATACTCAGGCGCGTACGCAACGGGGGGTGGGCAGGGGGACAAATCCCCCCCCCCCCCCCCCCCCCCCCCCCCAAAGCCAAAAAATGCAGATGCCGGATTATATTTTTCAAAAATATTATTGTTAATATTAATTTATATTTGTTAATATTTATTATACATATATATATATATATATATATATTTTATTTATCACATTCATCTACTAAGTTATTTTATCAATCAATTTCGATTTCAAGTTTTCCTTGGCGTAATTTACCTATTATTTTCAAATTTTAGTGGCGTAATATTTATCTAAATTTCTAATAAAATAATAATTATCTCTGAAACTCCTTGTCCAACAGGGAGAAAAAAATTGCAAGCTTGTCCAACGAGATCGAGTCTCCGCCACAGTAACAGCTATTTTGGAGT